TTTCTTTCTTAAAAATATTAATCAACTTCAAAATTTATTCCAAAATTTAAAAAAATTCTATTTCTAATCAATGTTACAAATTTAAAATTTTTTTAGAAAAAACTATTCACAAAAGTTCAGATTTAAAAAAAGTGTCCATGTCTTTCAAAAAGAAATGTTCACAATGTTAAAAAAATTTCATAATTTAGAAACAAAAAATGTTGGCAGTTTTTTAAATGTTTTTGGATGTTTTTAAAAATCACTTTAAAATAACCATATCGTGTTTTGAAAATGACTCAAACTAAAGAAACCAATTACCTACAAAACTAAAAAACTGTAAAAAGCCAAGCCAATAGGAAAAAAGTCGCTTGTACAAGATGGGCCAGCCCAGCCATTGCATGCCATGCGCGAGTGCCCTCCTATTTAGTGCAGTAATAAGCGTCAAACAGGAAGTCCCCTACCGGGAAACCCTAACACTCTCGTGGCATGTCGAGTACTCCTGGCGCAATACCTTTCATATGGGCCGACCCAATGTTTCTCTTTTTTCCATTGGTTCTTGGAAGTCTAGAACCTTCTTTGACCAGTTAATTTATCTATGTTTTTCTTTTGGTTATCTTCTTGTTTGTTGTTTTTCCTTTTTTCATTCCATTTTTAGTTTTGTGAGAATGTTTTGAAATCAAGTAGTGTTTTCTAAACTTCGGGAACATTATTCAAACTCAGGAAAAAATTGATAATTCAGAAAGATTTCTGAAATCCCAAAACACTTTTTGAACATATGTTTTTAATTCATGAACATATTTTAAATTCATGGAATGTTTATAAAATTCATGAAGATTTTTTGAAATTCAGGAGCATTATTTAAATTCGCGAATATATATATATATATTTATGAATAATCTTTAAATTCTTTGAAAGTCCTGAACTTGTTTTGAAATTCAGAAAGTATTTCAGTAGAAAACCTCCGAAATTAAAGAAAAATCACCAGCACCAAGTATCGGCATATGGGCTGGCCCACACGGGCGTTGCGCGCCGTGCAGGGTGAGCGATTGGCACTTACCAAGCGCGTTTTTTTAGCATCAATATAAACACAAGTGGTCATATACATGCGCATACACTCACCTCTATGAACACACATGCATACCCTACCCTTATGAGCACCTACAAGAGTGTCGTCGGAAAATCTTAAAATAAATTTAGAAATAATGCGAGCACCAGAATTTGAACCCTGATGGGTTAAGGATACCACTGTCCATCTAACCATTTTAATCATAGGTTGGTTCGCTTACCCAACGCATTACGGGCGCGCCGTAACGCGCGCTGTAGGAGATCCCGGTCGTGTACCAGACGTAAATCCCGTAGGTAACGCGCGCTATGCATGAGCGTGATAATAACAGTTCAAAAGAGAAACCTACGTCCCCTCAAAAAAAAAAGAGAGAAACCTACGTCCAACTATAATAAAAAAATAAAGAGAGAAACCTACGTGATAACGGGAGATGAGACGAAGCGGATACGGAGATTCAGCTTCAGGCCGACCGAGCAAGCAAGCGGATACGTGATTAACTACTGTATACGCACGTGCCAAACTAGCAGACCAACCAAAGCGAAGGAAATTTAGTAGACCAACCAATTGAGATCTTGGTCGAGGTGGGATCGATGGCCGACGTCGAGCAGCAGCTGGAGCTGGAGCAGGTGATCGCGGAGGCCGACGAGCGTAGCAGGTGGGCATTCACGTGCCTTTTGGGCAGCGCCGGTGTCTCGCTTTTCTGCATATCCTGCATCCTGCTTCGAAAATCTGGAGACGTTGACGCAAGCTTACCGCCTAACGTCGCATTCACCCTTGGGTTTCTGCTATCCTTTCCGGCCGTCTTCCTTTTCGTCTTTGCTGCAATCGTGGTTACTGAGTGGTACTGCGGCAATTTTAATCCAGGGGACCAAAAGTTTGTGGATACATTGTTGTCGCTCTGAATACATAGTTCATTAATCTATATATCTATCTTCTATGTATATCTAAATAATATTATTAATCGTACATGCGGTGATTCAAATAGATCAGTCTTTTTTTTTGAACACTTCAAATAGATCAGTTGATCGGTGTGTATGTATGTTCTTTCTTTTCTAAGTAATGTTATTAATTGTATATATACGGTGGTTGAAATACATGAGAAAAGTATACCTTTCATCCCTGAACTTTTGTTGTGCTCCTCGCCCCCCTTCGCTCCCGCGGGCGGCGGCTGGGCGAAACCCTAGACCCAGCCAACCCCCTCCCTCCCTCGTCTCCTTCCTCCTCGCTGCCGCTGGGCAAAGCCCGGGCGGCGTCGGCGGCGGCGGGGCCTCTCTTCCCCCTCGGATGCAGGCCTCAACGCGGGCTGCGGCGTTGTCTTGGGGGCGCGACGGTGGCGAGGCGCGCGGCTGTGGCGGAGGCTAGGGCGCGCGATGGAGCTGCGGCGGCTGCCTGGGGTGGGGAACGCAGGGGTGTGGTCCGGTGTTGCCTTGGCGGTGGATCTGGATGCCGGCGGCGCGGGCCGCGGGCGGCGAGGGTGGCGGCTGGGGTCCGGCTCCGGTTCCTGGCTACTATGGGGTCCTTCCCCGTCGCGGGCGCGCGGCGGAGCTTCTCGGGCGGCGGCGGTTCCAGCAGCAGCGCGCTACATCGGGTGGCGCAACTCTGGGTGGTGAGGAGGTGGTGGCACGACCACTTGGCTGCGGGCTGCTATGGAGGCCAGCGGCAGCACCCTCCTGGCCCAGATCTTGGCCCTTTGGGGCCCCATCTGGGTCTGGGCGGGCCTGGCTCGGCTTCGCTTGCGACGGCTCCGGCGGACAGAGGTGCGACTCGTGTGAGGGGTTGCGAAGACAGCGGCGCGCCCACTGCAGCGCGGCGACGGGAGCTTCACGAGCCATTCACGCTCGCCCGAGCCAATGTGTCTGGTGTGCTCCCCTTGCCGCGTCTGGTCGGTGACCGTCGCTGGCGGTGGAGGTTGTCCCCCCCTCCCCGTGTGGCTGCTGACGCTGCCGCTCCTCGTTCCCGGCTACTCCCTCTCGGACCCGCCGGTCCCGCTTCGATCTCCGTGGTGAGACGGCGGTGGTAACCCCAATACCGTGGTGGCGCATGTTGGCGGGCGGCAAGTGTGGTGTAGCGCGACGGGTCGGTCGGGGTGGCGGGTGTGTGGCGCACGGGAGAAATCCCTGTCGGCTTGGCCGACACTGACGCGACGACGCCTGTGGGCGCCATCGTTCCTTCTTGAAGGGCGTCGGGTATCCCCCTCACCCATGCCCTTCCGCGTACCGGGGGAAACCCTAGGACCAGTCCGGACAGCAGCGTCGTCATCGTCGCGTTCCTTCATGAAGGTGTTGCTTGGTATGCGGTGATCTGAAGTGCTAGGAGTCTAATGAAAATCTCTTGAAGGCGCAGCGGCTACGGATTATCATCGTTTTCGTCGATCCGACTCTGTTGTCATTAGTGTCTTTTTTCTTTTTTTATTTCTTTTTGCGTGCTTGTGTTGTCTGCCCCAGCAATGGATTCTGAGATGTACCAGGTCGTTGCTATATCTATATAGTAGGGTGAAAGCCTATTTCGAAAACTTTTATTATGCTTGAAATAAATCAACCCATCATTATTATGTATGCGTCTATCGTTTTGCAGAGCCATATGCACGTCTTATTAATTGTGAATTTTTCAAAAATCCCTACTTATAAATTTATGAAACTTTTAAGTATTTTGTTAACAAATGAATGGAGGCAACAAAGCGCGCCTCCGATGATTTAGTAATTTCAGGAAGTCGTATCTCTGCCTCCCTCTCTCTCATCATACGCAGTCGGCCAGCTCAAAAAAGCGAACAGTTTGTCTAATTCACATCTAGATGTTTTTTAAGGATATCGCATCTAAACTCCCATAAGTATATAATGCATCAATAAGAAACAAAAAGAACTAGGACAAAAAAATAGATCACAAACAGAGTGGAAATCAGCTTAAATGTGACATAACTATGTCACATCTAGATGTGTCCTAAACAGACCAAAAAAAAATACACACAGTTGAACACGAAAAATGATTAATATGGCGAGTGGGTGATGGGTCTCTGATCCGTACTTGGAGAGACCCATGGATTCCTCGTGGTAAAGGCTGTCGTCCTATTACTCTTAAGCGAAACTGCCGATTTAATTGGGTTACGGATTTCCTAGACGAATATGATGCCTGGAACATGCAACGGCTCCAAGAACATTTTTGGCATATGGTTATACTGGAAATTGTAAAAATCAGAACCTCCCTTAGAAACCGGCAGGATTTCTTGGCTTGGTTCCTTGAGAGGAACGGTTGTTTCACTGTTAAGAGTGCGTATAAACTAGCATTTGCTGAACATGATGATCTATTTGTTGGGGGCGCATCGAGCAATTTTCCAGAGGGAGACCGCTCTTTATGGCGCTGCATTTGGAGTTCATCAGTACCACAAAAAATGAAAAAAATGGCGTGGAAAACTGTTTCAGGGGCGCTGGCAACAAATCAATGCAAATCCTACCGGCACTTGCCCGTGCGTAGTTCATGTCCGATGTGTGCTCTGGAGGTGGAGACATCATTCCACGCACTTGTTACATGCAATCACGCTGCAGTACTATGGGACTTAATGCGTAGGATCTGGCCGCTGCCCGGCCGTGACTTGTTGATTGATACGGGAAGAGATTGGCTTCTGAGTTTGCTTTCTTCATGCAACGGCACCGTTCGGGATATGATAATCATGTTGATTTGGAGGATCTAGAACTTACGTACAGACATGGTTCATGGTAAAGAAGCTCCTCCATCTCAAACATCTGTTGATTTTCTGCAGAGTTACTTTAATTCGTTGCGGCTGTTAAGGATATATACTATAGAGGAAATCATTAAGGGGAAAATGACATGTGAAGATTTACTTTCATCTCCTGTGATCAAAGTTTCACCGCCGCCCCCGCCATGGCCACAACCCCCTGTAGATCATGTGGCCCTCTCGGTGGACGGAGCACTTTCAGAGGCCGATGGGTCGGCGGCCGCCGGTATGGTCCTACGAAGACATGATGGAAGTGTTATTTTCACGGCATACAGGTTCTTATTTAACTGTAATGATGCGTTGGAGGCCGAGATTCACGCTTTGATGCAAGGTATGGCACTAGCGAAACAACACTCTGAAGGCCCGATCATTGTGCAGTCTGATTCCTCGATAGCATTGGCTTCTCTCAAAGGCGATAATCTGGACCGCTCTGCATATGGTCATCTCATTGCTGAGATAAAGTTTTTGATAATTGATAGGGAGTTTATTCCCCAGAAAATTTCCCGTGAACCAAATAGGGTAGTAGATCGTTTGGCTAGTTATAGTCGATATGAATGTACTACTGCTGTATGGCTATACCGTGGTCCTCCGTGTATTGAGGCACTACTGCCACTGGACTGTAACCCTATCATTATGGAATAAAACTACCGTACTATTCCAAATCTGATTCGGACGGGCGCAAGCCGCAGGCCATATCGGAATCCACCGAGGGCGCGTCGAGTAATAAATGCACCCGAGCCTGGCTGCGTTGATTACAATTTACTCCACAAACAAGCCAGCTCGTTTCGAAAGAAGTACGACAGGGGTTTTGCAAGGAAGAATAAGAACACGATAAGACCCACAAAAGAAAAGAAAAAAGGAAGAACACGAGAATAACCGCGATGGATCGTCAGTCGGAGTGGATCAATCTGCGGCGCGTGCACGCGTTCATCAAGTCGAGGGGCCTCAAGGCGACGGCCTACGAGCTGGAGGAGGAGGCGCGGCTCAAGTTGGACACTTGGACTTGGACTACCCCCGCGTGCGCGGCCTGCTGTCGCGCGGCCGCTGGCGGGCGGCAGACGTCTACGTGTCGTCGTTCCTGGGGGACAGCCTCACGCCTGAGGCATCCGACACGCTGTTCGTCATAAGGTTCGAGCGCTTCGTCCACGCACTCAAGAGGGGCGACAGGGCATGGGCCGCGCGCTATTACGACCGCAGCGTGAGGCCCCTGCTGGCGAACCACCCTTACAAGACCACGGTGATCACCGACGTCCTCAATGCTCTGCTCGCAAGCGCTAGATCGCTCCGCCGGGACCACCCGGACAACGCCTGGTACAGGGAACGTGCGTTATCAAGTTCATGTGCCGCATCCACTGCAACAAGCAGCTCCACCGTTGCAAGAAAAGTTTCCTTCACGATAGATTTATGTGCTACAAGATGAAGGGAGCCCTTGGCTTGCGCCGGCACGCACCAAGAAGATCCACGGCCAGATAGACGGGACCAGCTCAGAGCATCTCCAGCAGTGGTTGGCAGCGGCGGCGGCGGAGGCGGTGGCTCAGTGATGCGGCATAGACCCTCGTTATAAAAGGGGAATTCAAGTGTTTTTTTATCATCGAACATTTATTAATCAAGGGGTGTATCGGAGTGTGTGTTTTGGCGAACTATTGAAAAAGAGAGCTGCAAAGATGCTTTTTTTTGCATGGTTGCGGAGATGCATTTATCCGTGTCACCAATCCATACCAGTTTAACTGTCATATTTTCCACTAAATAAAAATCAACTAAGGTGTAGTGTTCTCTACGAATATGATCACCCCCTGTACGTATCATAAAGTATTTAGTTCCCCAATTACTTATGAGGGGAAGAAAAGAAAAAGTAGCTAGGGACCTTGGCTGCAGTGGCCAACACATGTTGCTCGGAGCTCTCGCGAGTCTAGCCCCTCCTCTCACCTGTGTATACTCACAAACACATTAGTTCCCTCATTTTTTTGACATTAATCTTCCAAACTCCTTTAGGGCGCGTTAGATGCACTTACAGCAGATCACCCCTAGATTAGCATAAGAGATCACCATGGTAAAGATCGTTAGAGAATCGGGGAATAGGCTCTACACCGTCCAGGCAGGAGAGGAGAATAAAACCCCGCCGAGAAGGAAAATTGGAACCCATGTGTTAGAGAACTCTTTCTTACTTCACCTTTCGCAAACTAGCCCGATCATAGGATGCAACACATATATAATAAACAACTTAAAGTGTGATGAGTCCCCACCTCATGCACACCTACTCCATGCCATATGTTACTATTGCCTTTGGACCCATGTACAATTGATCGATCGATCTGCACATCTTATGTTCCTTCATAGAAGATGCCAAAATCAATGGCATATGTCATATAGTTTCAAGAGTAGTCATGAGATTGAACGAAACGGGTACAAATTGTGTATACTCGAAGTTACTTACCCATAACAACATACACTGGCTTGCGTTGATCGATGTGCAACCTAACTAAAATGTTCCTAATGGACTATGCTTCTTGTTGTAGCGGTTCCTATTTGACGCATATTGCGCCAAATAGTCGGCTATTTACATATGGGAGCAAAAAGCAGAGTAGACTAGGTAAAATGATTGTAAAACATTCAAAAATGATAATATAACAGTATGAATACTTCGTAAATTATAAATACGTTGGAGACATATTAGTTAGCATTTCTTGCTTCGCAAGGAATGTTACCGTTGTGCTAAATTTCTGACCGTTGGAATCGTGTCGTTCAGCCATTGGCTGGTCTGCATGTTCAATTGGTCATTTCCCATGAAGGAAGGCTGCCTCTATAAATAGCCACCCCACTCCAACATTGTCCATTTGCCGTGAAGTTTCACGTAAGATTTCTGAGAAGATCGATTGAGCATCCCCTCTCTGAGAGATTTGAGTTTAAAATCCACTGAGAGAAAAAACAAGAGCCGAAACTTAGACAGTGGTTGATCATAATAGTAGTTCTAAACTAGGGTTCTTGTACCTATTACTCTTGAGAGCTGCACACTCTCTAGATGGGTAGGTGTCGGTTTGAGTGACGAAGAGTAATTGTCTTCACCAAGCAAAGTCTTCAGCAACCAAGAGTTGTTGTGGTTCATGAAGAAGTTTGTCGAAGGTTTGGAGATCGCCGACAAGTATCTACCACATGTGAAATCAACTAGAGTTTGATCAGCTCCCAGTTGAAGGAGAATAGGATGGAGACATGTTTGCTCCTGTGTTCAATCAGACGTAGTCCTTTGGTAGAAGGGCGAACTGGTCTACCAAATCCATCTGTCGCCATCGAGCACCACTGGTTCACCTTTCTTTACTACAATTCATTTAGTAGTTTACTTCCGTGCTCTGTGTCGATTGCTTCATCTGATCCATTAACACATCTGTTTAGTCTGTGTATTTTCAGTGTGTTCGTATTTATCTTTTCGCTCATATATCTACTATCTTGTCTTCCCGTGCTACTTCATTGGATAGCTTACAACATCACCATTGTTATCATTAAGCCTATGATCTATTATGCTCGAATAATTATATCATATTTCCTCGAAAGATTTGCTCATCACTGAAGTGCTTGTTTATTATTCTCTCATCCAAATGTTTTCCGCGTTCAGTTCAAATCATTCGCAAGAATTTTTGAATCTCCCATTCACCCCCTCTAGTCGATACACTCTCAATCCTAACAATTGGTATCAGAGCGGGTTATTCCTCTCTGTTTATTAAAGGTCTAGCAACCTTGGAGTTTTGAGTATGTCGTATGCAGGTAGATTCCCGCGCTCTGATTGATATACTATCGGGCCTAACACTATTACTACAGTGCAATCCAATCCTCCTAGTGTCTCCTTCCTCATGTTCAGAAAACGGAGAGCACACCGTGTCGCCCATCCACGGCGCCATGACGATGTCTGGCAGGTACAGGAGTCTGAGGAGAGGATAAGGCCACCCTGTTGGTGTCCTGGACTAGGGGGTGCTTGCCACTTCGGTCCGCCCGTTATGGGCCAGGTCGAGGACCCACCGAAGACTGGTGAATGGGCCATGCCAGCCATGGTGCTCGATGTAATCAATATGAAGATCTCCTGTAGGCTTGGCGTACACTTCAAGCATATTTGAAATATTAGCGTTTTATCCCTAAATTGTAACTAGCCATGTGTAAACCCTAGGTACCCCCGACGTCTATATAAGCAGTGGGGTTTAGTCTGTAGAGACACATTCGCAAGGTTTAGAGTTTAGACCATCTTCATACCATCTCGAGGTAGATCATCTTGTACCTTGTACCCCATCACAATCAATATATAAGAAGTGGGAAATAGGGTTTTACCGCATCAAGAGGGCCCAAACCTAGGGAAAACATCGTGTCCCTACTTCCCCTGTTACCATCTAGCTCAGATCACCAAGCTTAGGACCCCCTACCCTAGATCTGTTGGGGAACGTAGTAATTTCAAAAAAATTCTTACGCACACACAAGATCATGGTGATGCATAACAACGAGAGGGGAGAGTGTTGTCCACGTACCCTCGTAGACCGAAAGCGGAAGCTAAGGATGGCAATTTTATCCATGGACATGGATATCCATGGATATCCGACCCGAATGGATAGGGTTTGGATATGCTTTTGTATCCATGGGCGGCGCCCAAACCTGACCGATTGTTCATGGATAGAGCATGGATATAATCTTGTACCCATGGATATACCCAAACCCGACCCGATAGTATGACTTAATGAGGGAAAATCTGATATCCTTGCCCCACGGTCATATGTCCCACAAAAATTTTACACTTTTTTTTATCTAAAACATGCATAAGAAATTACACAATCCCCATCATAACTTTTTTAGTTGACATTCAATCCCCTCTGTAACATAATCCAACACCCCTTCCCTTATTTTTACCTCCTCCTTAAATGACTCGTCATTCTCATCCATTAGAAAAATACTAAATGATCTTAGGTTGTTAGTGGATGTTGATTTACCATAAGTGAAGCCTAGCCTACCATGAGGTGAAGAATGGAAGAGTTTATGTTAATATTGTGTTATGTCTTATTTATATGTCTCGAGAGGACCCAATGGATATCCAATGGGTATGGATATCCATCGGATTTGGACATGGACACAATTTTTCACCCATGGATTTTTTCATGGGCGGGCAAAGAATATCTTCATGGACATGGATATGGATTTGAGATTATTCAACCCGATCCAAACCCGACCCATTGCCATCCTTAGCGGAAGCGTTAGCACAACGCGGTTGATGTAGTCGTACGTCTTCACGATCCGACCGATCAAGTACCGAACGTACGACACCTCCGAGTTCAGCACATGTTCAGCCCGATGACGTCCCTCGAACTCCAATCCAGCCGAGTGTTGAGGGAGAGTTTCGTCAGCACGACGGCATGGTGACGATGATGATGTTCTACCGATGCAGGGCTTCGCCTAAGCACCGCTACAGTATTATCGAGGTGGACTATGGTGGAGGGGGGCACCGCACACGGCTAAAAGATCAAACGATCAATTGTTGTGTCTCTAGGGTGCCCCCTGCCCCCGTATATAAAGGAGCAAGGGGGGGGTGCGGCCGGCCAGGAGGGGCGCGCCAGGAGGAGTCCTACTCCCACCGGGAGTAGGACTCCCTCCATTTTCCTTGTTGGATTAGGAGT